CTTACCCGACGAGTTAAATTGCGATATCCATCAATGGTACCGATGGCTTTTGGCTAACCAACCACTCCTCTTTAAACCTTTGAGAAATAATTCACATCCGACCCATGAAAGCGGCGTTGCTCGATGAAGGCGGGCGAAAAGGGAGGTAACAGCGATCCCAACCAATCAATATAGAATCCACCATATGACTATCAGGCGCACTTAATTAGTAGGGAGTTGTAGCAAATTTGAATAATTCATTTGACCAAGTTGAGAAAGACTCGGTGACCTCAGAGGGTTTTAGACCCACGCCAGCAAGGGGAGGCCTTAGTGCAGCCAAAACTTGCGCCTGGTGGATTCTGTAATGACTGCTTAGGAAATCCTGCTTGAGTAGTCAGTTTAACGTACCTGATTCGGAAGATTCCACTCGTTGCAATAGGCTGGACGTATGATTAAACTCACGGCTCTCGGTAGGACCTCGTAGCTCAGATTACTAGAATTTTGGCTGTACTAAAGTCTTCTCCTCTTCGGCGTAGGTACGAATAACACCGAGGTTTTCACAAGTTGGTAAAAAGACAGTATAAGATGCTGCCAGGAGGCCAGCCGAGAATGAAGACAACGCGTTTGAGGACATAGAGGTGGTCGGACTAAGTGTACGACACGAACAATGAAAACCACCATGAGAACTCACATCGTAACACTGAGTGCAGGTTTGAGTTCGCGAAACAGGAGATGGAGGAGGAGGTTTAAGCACATTCCTGGGAGTCAGCGTTTTCCCAAGTTTTTCCGGTGTCGAGTTTTCCAGAGAACTAAAAGAGGTGTGTTGGTGTTACGGGGATGGAGGTTAAACCCTAATCGACTTCACTTAAACACGCTCACTCTAGAAAATGTTCATTCGATAGTGCAAACTGCAACAGTAAATTTATTTCCTACCCCAAAGACTTAAGGTCGGGAGACACTTGGCTAAATCATTGTCAGATACTGTTTGCTCCGGAACAAAATCAGAATTAGAGCTTTTGGAAAATTTCTTCATAAAAAGTTATAGTTATTTGGTACAAAAATTACAGTTCTGGACTCTTGTTTGCGATTTTCGATTTTTTTTACTTGTAAACATTTGGCAACAGTAGCTTATGAAGGCCCACTCATTAACCCCTACTCCCCGCATGTTTTCCTACGAAAACTGTGGTTATAGGGTTTTATGGGTGGGGAATTAGGACACGCAGTAGAATATACTTTAATAAATGCGAAATGCATTTTTATTTTACTGTATTTAAAAATTTTTTGATCTATATCTGTAGATTTTCCTAATGTTTATTATCGTTTAACTTATTGCGGAGAAACCCGATTATAAAATTGCAGGTTTCTCGAATTTCCCGACAAAGTGAAATGGAGGTTAGGAGGTCATCCACTTCAACTTATCTGAGGTCCAACTTACCGTTCTGGAGTTAGATTAGTATAGCTCGCGGCGCTATGCGCCGCGCACACCTTCAATGTACATGTGAAATAACTTACTCCCAGCGGCCGCAGGAAGCAACTTTGACTACATTTTTGCACTTAACACTTACGTCTAAAAAATTCCTTTTCTGTCTATCCTATTTCCCCACCCCCCAAAACTCTATAACCACCTTTTTTGCAGGACAAAATGCTGGGACTAGGGGTATATGAGTGGGCCTACATAAGCTACTTTTGCCAAACATTTTAAATCAAATTTTGCTGTGAGAACTAACGCCTGAACTTCCAGCTGTTGGCTGTGTAATAGGAATTTCTTTCAAGCGAAAAAAACGGAGAGAAAGAAGGTAAATCCGACCACGCAGCAAAGTACACTAAAAAGTAAACAACGACAAAAATGTATGCACCTGGAAAAAGAAACTAGCTTGCAGGTCATCTGCTTTGTATGGAACAATAGTCGCGAATAAGTTAAACAGTCAGGTAGTATGCCACGCTTCATGGTCTATCTTGTGATTTTACCATTCTATCCAGACATACTTCTTCATGGTAAATATCAGAACTTGCAATTTTCAACCAAAAGAAGCGTTACAGACTAGGAGAACGCTGTATAAAAACCACTGAGTTACAAATGAGAAATAGTGTGGTAAACCGAACCAAAAATATAAGAACGGCTTGTCATTACATACGTGGTACGAAAACACCACAGAATGCAGATCCTGAATAGGTGCTGTTTCCCCACTAGTACTATAAACAAGAAAATTCTTAAATGCTCAAACCTAGCATTTTTTCAGAAAGTGAAGAATATTAGGAGGGGCATACTCGGATGAGGCGACAACCGCATCTTGTGCAGCTGGGTCAGTAGGGCCATTGTGGGAGGACTGCAAAGAAAAGAGGACATATTTAAGGTGAATATAGGGAACAAAATTGCTATCGAAATTAATAGGGTTGAAAATTAAGCTAATAATTCTCGATATTCTTGTCGTTGTGTACTCCCGAATGGCTAGACCCTAGATGGGGCTGTCTTGCAGCTCCAAGACCCAACTGGTCTCAGAAGTAAGTCAAGGGACTAGAACCAGTCGAATGTGATCTGGAGTGTTGAGTTTGATGGCAGTTGCGTGTAACGTTTCGACTATCACAGAAGGAACTGCTCACCCCCAGTTTTACTTTGTAACGTCAAGCTAACTTTACGAGGACAACAATCAACGATACTCGTTCACTGGGCTCCACACAGACATACGACTACCTAATCGTCAGACTTACATCTATCTACTTCAAATAGTCCTCACTGAAGGCACTTAAGTAATATAACC